GGAACCCAACCCGCTTATCTTGAAAAATGCGAGAGAGATTAAAGAGAATCCAGTGTATTTCTGTATTTCTGCAACCGGAGGGAAAGAGTTTTCTGGTCTCTATCTCCCGCCCCCCCACACCCCCCCCCGGCCGGTGATTACAGACAATGTCTGCTCAGAAAAATCCGAGCACAAAAATGGGTAAAAGATGTTGGGCTCTTTACGGGGAAATTTTCCAAATAGCCCTTTTAAACGTGGGTCCCGGAGGTTAAGCAAACAAAGACAGTCTGGGCTGGACCACACCGAAGAGGATTTTAGCCTGACTTAACCCCTAGGAGAGCGGGGTCTTGTTCAATTTTATGGGAATTTCAACAAGTAACAAATACAGGCGACCCTCAGCTCCGAGTCCCCTCCCGCCCCCTCCCCTCCTTGCCCGCCTGTCAATCACTCTCCCGTCCTTCTGCGAGCCCTTCAGCCTGCCCCGGCCTCCCCACAGCCTGTCGGGGGGGACGGTGATTTGGGAGCCCAGCCGCCGGGGAACCCGCCCGGCCATCACCGCAGAAGGGACTTGGGGTGTCACGGGAGAGCAAGCGGTTGCAAATTTTCCTCCCTTAAAAAAAAAACAAACCACAACAAAGCAAAAAAAAACCAAACAAACCATAAGACAAAACCAAATCCCAAACGCCTAAATAGCCCTGATGTGGCTCCTGGGGAGAGGCGGCTGCGGAGCGGGTCGCAGTCTTACCGGGGGGTTTCGGCGCAGAGAGGGCTGTGAGACGCGGAGCATCCTACAGGCGACCCTCAGCTCCGAGTCCCCTCCCGCCCCCTCCCCTCCTTGCCCGCCTGTCAATCACTCTCCCGTCCTTCTGCGAGCCCTTCAGCCTGCCCCGGCCTCCCCACAGCCTGTCGGGGGGGACGGTGATTTGGGAGCCCAGCCGCCGGGGAACCCGCCCGGCCATCACCGCAGAAGGGACTTGGGGTGTCACGGGAGAGCAAGCGGGAAAAAAAAAAAAAAAAAGAAGAAAATCAAGAAAGGAGGAGAGTGTAGAACCAAAATGAAAACAGACAAATGTATTTCCAGCTTTCTAAATCTAAAGAAGTTGTATCAAAAATACTGGAACATTAATTGAAATGCGTATTTGTTGTCAGAAGAACAACTGTGGATGTGTTAGATTTCATCCAGGTTCGACCAGTGTTTGAGGCAAAAGTTTTGCTGAGTTTGATGGGTCCAGAGACTCTACAGGAACCCTTGGAGAAAGCAGTTGCTCTTGTTCACACGACTGAGACCAGTAATGCCATATTTAAAACTGGGGGCAGAAAACCTGTCGACTGTAGGGTGTGCTCTGTTTTACTTGACTGCTGCATGCTGTTTTATTCTTCAGCTTTAAGCATTTTAATTGCTGCTATAGTGCTTTTTCCGTCACTCTGAAAAGGCTTTGTGGCCAGATGTTGTTTGTCATTTGTCCACAGTAGCTGGCAATAATGTAATTACAGAAATATAAAAAAATGTGCTCAGCACTGGGGATTACTAGCCAACCCAAGCATTTTCCTACCGAATCACTTTTTCAAATATTCCTTCGCACAGCAGTCCAAATGATTTTCTAGCTCTGGCTGAGCTAACTTCCCAAGCATTCCAGTTATATTTATTTTTTCTAATGCACTTGTCAGCTACTTCAAACTCCACCCCAACTCCTGACAGCAAGGCCAATCAAACACCCTCTCGTTGTGGTTTCATGGGGAACCAGCTCATGGCCACAGAAATGGACTGCACCCAATGGCACCCGCCCAAAAATAACTGCACCACTTCCACTTTTTTCAATGCGTCTGCATTGTTCCAATAGCACTGAGATATTGCTACTGATTAATGCTGCTATATAAATAACATGCAAAATGATGGAAAGCTTTAAGGATTTTTTTTTTTTCTGCTTTTACTCATGTTCACAGTAAAATTTCCATTGGCTTCAATAAGCCCTGTATACCAGACTTGCACTAACGCAATTTCATTAACTTAGCTGAATTACCCCTTGTTTATAGCGGTGGAAATGAGTGGAAAATCAAGGCCAACAGGATAAGAAATAATCCTATTATTCTGCCCAAAAAGATTGCTCTGGGTTTAGAGATGAGGTTTAGGTTTAGCAGTGGCTGCTTTGGTCACGTAAGCTTTTACACCTTTCCTTACTCTGAACGACCATTTTGGTGAGTTCATTCTTCTCTCAGTCCTTCACCTCTCCTCCCTCCTGCTGCTGTGGGGCTTGCTTCCTCACCAGATCTAGCCAGGGGTAGCAGACAACCTGTCAGCAATTCAGGGTGCTTAATGATCCACTTAGGTGGCAGCTGATAACAAATGACAAGGTCACAAAAGTCCTTCAAATCCGAGAATTTCTCTGTGTCGTCACAAGAAGCATTAGAAATCCCCAAATGTAACACTATATGTTGGGAAGGTGAACAACCGCACAAAACAGGCAAGTTTCTGTCACATCCCTCCAACCCTGTAAAACAAAGGCATCACCCATTCACCTATATGGAAAATACTTCCCCTGCCACATCCTTTTCACCTATAGCAGAGATCACAAGAGCAGACAGTCTGCCAATACACATGCAGTTACATCAGACCTACCTCATGCACAACCACCATTTGCAAAATGCGTTGGCTGAGATTCCACCTCTGTCTGTCACTCTGACATCACTCAGTGGCCCACAGGATACTGCAAATACAACTTGACTGCTGCTGAAGGAAAAACAACTTTTATGGACTCTGCTGGAATTGGTACGAGCTTCAGGTGAGGAAAACACCAGGGCAAGAAAAGTAATTGCACATGACACCTGTTCCTTTAACACATGGTTAGCCAGTCTCCGCTGCACTTACTGGTGACATTATATAAAAGTTTTATGTGTATGTTATATGTATGAATATACAAAGATAAAAGTTGTATGTGTCTGTAAACATACACATCTATACCAATATATACAACATCTTTTATGGTTTTGCATTTAGGATCTAACTAATTGATAATAAGCCCACTGTTCCTAACTTTCAGCTGGGAATGTGCCACTTTGCAAAGCTAGTGGAATCTCTGAGGAGAAATAACTTCAGAATAAAATGGAAGACAAGTTGAAAAGAAAGACAACCACTGAGACATAATCTGGGTGTGCAAATATCACTGCTCGTCATTTTTACACCCAGAGGTCCCAGTGAGATGAATGGGCCAGAGTGCTGCAAGGGCTCAGACTTTTAAAGGCAATGACATGCTCCACCCCCAGCAAGAGATTCATATTTCTGTGTGAAGCTCAGAGACTGAACGTGCTACCTCCTCTGAGCCAAATTTCCCCTTGGATCCACACTGCAGATTTTGGGAGTTGGAATAAGTTATCCTTTGGAGAATAAATTAGTTACTGGCAGGACAACTTTGGCAGCAGCTTAATCTTCCAATCAATTGCTCCACTAGCATTCTCCTAGCCTGGAGAAAAGGACACATCCTCTTGGATCCAGCGTTTCTCAGAGTGAGTTTGTAATAAGAGTCAATTTGGAGGGGAAAAGATGTGATGTTTTCTGTTAAGCAGATACACTTCTTCTCCATTCAGGCCCACAGGCTGATTTTTTTTTTTCCTCGCTTCTTTTTTCGTGAGAACAGGAGGAATAAGAGAGGAAAAAGCCTAATTCGAATAACAGCAGGGTTTTAATAACTGCACGCAGGACACTGTATCCTCTGTGCCATGTGGAGCTGTGAGGCTACACTGCCTTCCCCATGGAAAGTCTCTGCCTCTCACCAACTCTATGGCTGTTGTTTCCTTTCTTTTTCTGCTCTCTCTCAGATGTCTTCAGAGCGTTCAAGTCACCATGGCTGATCTGTTGAGGTAATCAGATGCATGGTTAGCCATAAGAGCTGTAAGCTACCCGATAGATGGGACTCTGACAATTTAGCTAGTGTTTTACCAGGATGCAGTAAACAAAGCCTCCAGCCCATGAAGGTGCCCTCTACAGTTCCAGGACACAGCCTCTGGAAAGGGGGAGACAGGACAGAGCCATGTTTTCATGTACAGACTGGATCAAAAACACTCCATGTAGTGTCCCTCACTGGGTATTATTTGTTGTACTGCAAAAGCATCTGTAGATCCTAGCCTCATTGCCCAGTGGCTGGATGTATGCCTGGGAAAGGAATCCTTCTAGGTAGAGAT